GGCAGCTCCACCATTTCTGCATTTCTTCTTGGAAGACGGATACCTGCCTGTGTTGGACAGTGCAGAGGCCTCCCCTCTCAACAAGTCACCCTTTGGAAGGGCCACTACCTGGAACATAAGAGCTGGTATCCCAACTCTAACCTGTGGAAAAAGGGGCTAGTCCAGCTGACTAACATTACCAAGCTCAGAGGGCCTGATAGAGACAGGCCCCTTCCTGCCCCTCTCCACCTGTTGCCTGGGAGTCTTGATCCTCTGGAAGAAAACTAACAGGCTGCTCAGTCAACAGGCCTTGACTCCAAGTCAGTTTTTGGAGAATGCGTTTGTTACTATTTGTGCTTATGTCTTTCTGTGTGTGGACCTGCGTGTCAAATGCAGATACATGGCTATGGTCCTCCTGGCTGAAAGAACACAATACAATTCTCCACCTGCCTGCTGATGATTGAAATTCCACCACTTATGGGATTACTCCCCTTGCTTCAGAATTACCTCCTCTTAAAAATGCAAATTTCCCAGAAGAGAAAATACTGTTAGCTTGCTTATTTATAGTTAATAAGAGTAAGCTTGCCAAGTTCTTTCATGAGAAATATTTTTTATGAAAAATGCTGAGCTTCTTAACAGAGTCTAGTAACTAAGCAATGGGGTTTTTGAAGGTGGTTTTATCTAATTTACATTTGAGGTATCCACCTAGCAAGAACTTCCATATTGCAGTTTCTCACCACAGTTTCTTATATGAATAAACTTCTGGTTACCATTGACTTCCTGATAAAACTCAATTATACACAACTGTAAGTGATACTATTTAAGTTGTAATGGAAAATCAAGGAGGAGGAATCATGTCCAATATTTGAGTTTAACACAGGGTTGAAATAAAGAAATAGCTCTAAGACAGAAAACGGAAACCCTGAGTTCAGGACTCCAGATTTTGGAGTAGGAGGCAACTGGGAAAAATTTTAGGGTCTGAATTATTAGAAAAACTGCTGAAGGTGTCAATCTTCCCATAGACGGAGGGATGGCGAGGTTGGAGCTGACCTTAGCAGACACTGAAGGGCACGTGGCACACAGATATCTCGGTTACATCTGGCTGATGGGGGCCTCATTCACTTCCTTCTTTGCTTCTTGTATCAGGATAAAACTTTTAAATGCATTTCCACTTTGCTGAGAGGCAGTGTAATGCAGAGGTTAGCAGCCCAATGTATGGCCTTAGACAGCTGAGGTACAGATTCCCATGCCGCCATCTATAGTCATATGACCTTGGGCATCGTGCTTAACGTTTCAGGCCTCAGTTTCCTCCCCTGAAAAATGAGAATAACAGTAGTTTCCAACTTATGGGGTTGGAAAAACCCAAGCACCTTGGAGAAATAATAAACAATAAAATAAAATAAATCCACTTCTGTATTATTTGATGCAGAGCCCAAGCTTTCTACTTTTTCACTTAACAGATTGTCCCCTCTCTATGGGGGAGGGCGCCTCAGACCCATGGACACCTTGGGGGTGTTCTATGCCAAGGTGCCAACTGCATCCGGCACGGTGCTTTCCTTGCTGGGCTGGACCTCAGAAAACGGCAGAGTGCCAGACTTTGGCCAATGCCAAAGGCACTGAGGTTGCTGTGTTTAGGACTTTTCCTTCTCGAAAGTTATGAGGGCATGGGCATCGGGTGAGCCTGCTTCTCTTTTCATCCATAACCCTAAACCCTCCTGAGCCATGGCAAGAATTGTCATGTAAACTCAGCTTTTTTTTCTGTAGGCGACGTAAACCATTTTTTTGTATCTACCCCAATCTCCAAAGCTTTCCTGTAGATCTCTCACATTCTAACCTCCCTGGTTGACCTGATCCAGATTTTCCTTAAATTGGCTGGTTGTCTTTCCTTAAATGTGTCAGAGTGGCTATGCTCAAAGCCAGATTGCTGGCCGGGCGCAGTGGCTCATGCCTGTAATCTCATCACTTTGAGAGACCAAGGTGGTTATATCACCTGAGGTCAGGAGTTCAAGACTGGCCAACACGGCGAAACCCCGTCTGTACTAAAAACACAAAAATTAGTCAGGTGTGGTGGCAGGTGCCTGTAATCCCAGCTACTTGGGAGGCTGAGTCTGGAGAATCGCCGGAATCCAGGAGGCAGAGGTTGCAGTGAGCCAAGATTGTGCCATTGCACTCCAGCCTGGGCAACAAGAGTGAAACTCTGTCTCAAAAATAAATAAATAAATAAATAAATAAATAAATAAATAAGCAAGCCAGATTGCTGGGGATGGGATCCTGGCTGGTGACTATGGGCAAGTTACTTAACCTCTTGGCCTCAGCGTTCACATCTGCAAAATGAAGATAAGAATGGTATCTGTTTCATCAGGTTGTTGGACTATTAAGTGAATTAATACGTATGAAGCGTTCCATTTGGTGCCTTGCACATAGTAAGAACTTCAGATGTTAGCTAGTATCTTGCCCCATACATGGGTCATACTTGCAGATGATGTGCAAGTGAACTCTGGGCTATTGTACATTACTCTGCATTAAATAACTCCACAGGAAATATAGACATTTGCCTGGTGGTATGAAGGATGACCTGCACGTCGGAAAGTCATCAAGGTGTACTTTCACCTTTCTTCCCAGAGATGCATATAAAATATAAAACCCCAATTCATTCATTTCTGTACTCATAAATTCAATTTCCCAAGGCACTGGGAATTTACCATCCTGTTGGGCGGAGAAGTCAGAACTTGACCTTTCTTTTCTACTCTGTGATTGACCTTGTGTGTTAGAACAGAAGTTGAAGGAAGAGGAGGCATGTCTCCTAGATGCTGAAGGTACTGTTGCTCTCTTCCAAGAGTGTCTTACTCCTTCACAAATATTCATTGAGAACCTAGTGTGTGCCAGGTACTGCTGTGGGTCCTGAAAATACAGCAGTAACCGAGGAGGATGAGGTCTTTGTTCTCTTGGAGCTTGAGTTATCAAGATCCAACAAACGCCAGCATTCTACAAGAGTTTATTATTAATTGCCTCTTCTTCTTCAGTACAACATATTCGAATGATGACCCTCAATGACTGCAAGAGTCTAAAAAGCCTTGTGAACCACCAAAGAAAGACAACAAGATGGCCACTATAGTTTTGATGATATGCATATTTGTTGTATTATACCTTTTTTTCATTTCATTTCATTTCTTTTCTTTTTTTTGGAGACCAAATCTTGTTCTGTCACCCAGGCTGGAGTGCAGTGGTGCAATCTTGGCTCACTGCAACCTCCACCTCCTGAGTTCAAGTGATTCTCCTGCCTCAGCCTCCCAAGTAGCTGGGATTACAGGTGTGTGACACCATGCCTGGCTAATTTTGTATTTTTAGTAGAGACGGCATTTCACACATTGATCAGGCTGGTCTCGAACTCCTGGCCTCAAATGATCTACCCGCCTTGGCCTCCCAAAGTGCTGGGATTACAGGCATGAGCCACTGAACCTAGCCTTTTTTTCTTTTTAGAATTGGGGTCTTGCTATGTTGCCCAGGCTGACCTCAAACTCCTGGGCTCAAGTAATTTTCCTACCTCAGCCTCCCAAGTAGCTAGGACTAAAGCATGTGCCACTGCAACCCACTCTGTAATACTTTTTTGAAAACAGATAGTCCATATAACACATCTATAGCCTCCATAAATGCTTAAACTGAAAGGCCTGTTCCTAGACCATAGTGAAAAATAAATACACTTCCTCTACATGGTTTATTTGCACAGTGTGATTGGTTTTCATTTGTTTGTATGTTTTCCTTGTATGTGTCCTTCAGTCTCTCTCCAAGTGCGTCTTTCTTAACTCTCTGATTTTGAGCTTCATCAGGGAGAAACGTTTCTAAGCCTGTGCACACCCCACTGATGTTGTTGCCGGACCCACAGCCAGCCCCAGGGTGGGAGGGCCAGATGAAGTTGAAGGGAAAAAAAGATCTTGTCTGCTGCCTCATAATATGTCCAAGCCCTCTCATGAGGCCTTAACGTGGGTGCTGTCCTCTGATAGTCAAAGGACACTGTCAGGGCAATGAGGTCCTAACAACCCTCTCCCAACCTCTGTGAAATGACCCGATGGAGTGGAGCTCTGCAAACTTCCTCCGGCACCCATGGTCTCTGCTTCTAGGATTCCTAGGCAGGATCCTTGGGAGAGCCTGGGGCCTGAAGGACTCTGTCTGCTAGGATTGCCAAGAAGAGGCCAGGCGTTCACTGCGGATTCACACAGAGGCACACAGAAGGGAACACCCCTGTCTGCCCTGCCCCATCCATGCCCTCAAAGGAGAAATGAAAATGTGCTTGATTTCTTGTGATGAGAGAGAATCTAGCGGTGGGGCAGACACAGGGAGAAAGAAGGCTGTTTACACCACAGAGGGAGGATAGGGAAGAGGAAGAAAAACTCGCATATGGAAAGGGACACTAGTGGTAGGGAAAGAAGTTTTATTTTCAAGCTTTTAAGAGAATATTACAAACAACAGAGAGTTTTAAAAAACCCTAAAAACTAGTTTAAAAAAGTACTTGACAGTGTCCTTTTAATACCCATGGATGATGCGGCCATTGTGCAGTGACAACCAGAAACTCTGCAGGTGACCACCCAGTGGCCTTCCCTGGCAGGGTCCCCCGAGCGAGCAGGGGGGTCCAGGGGTAGTGCTCCCTGCCAGGCACCCCTGGGCCCACCTGGCTGCACGGGAAGGACCAGGGAGCATGAAGCACTGAGCGTCAGCCTGACTGCCTCTTTGGGGAGGGTTCTAAGCAGCAAGGAATGCTTAGATTGGGCTCTACTCCACTCCTTGGGGCACACTGGCCAAGCTCCTCCCGACCACTGCAGCTGCAGGGGTGCCCTACCGTGAGGGGACTGGGTATGTGCATGTGCCAAGACAAGAAAGGGCTGGCATTGCCCATGTCCTGGCCATGGTGGGATTGGGCAGTTGGGAAAGTTGCTCCGGGATTGACAGCTTCCAAAGCTGAAGCCACAGCAGCAGAACTGTGCTTCAAATACTCACTGGAAATCTGTACTTTTCTCTAGAGGGGTGTGTGTGTGTGTGTGTGTGTGTGTGTGTCCTGTAAACATCTTTGAACCAAAGCACTATAAAATAAATTAACAAGGGCACAGAAAGACACCCTTTTCCAAACCTAAGCCCTCTTTGAGCCCACCTGAAATCGGGAGTTCCATTTGGAAGTTCCTTCAGGAAGGAGACACACCTCTCCCTCTGGCTGCTCACACCAGCTCTCCCTCCCTGCGCATCCCTCCCTGACCATCCACCCCTCCATCCCCACAGCCATTTGTCAGCGAATCTTGCCCATCCAAATGAGCCCAGGATCCCCAAAGGCAGTGTGTCCCTGCCAGCTCGCTCACGAGCCTCCCCCTTTCCTGGCTGCCTGCAGAACACAGCCCCAGGAGAAACAAAACCAAACAGGGTGAGAGCAGAGCAGACCACAGACGCTTTTCCTCTTGGCCCCCTTGGCCTCCGGCACTGCCACCAGTCACACAGGCTTTGCCTGCCCTCCGCCTCTGCTTCTTCAGGTACCTTGCCTGCGGGCGCATTGGGGCAGGTTTTTTCTGTTGGGCCGGGTTCAGCCTGTATTGCACTTTGTTGTTGAGTTGGTGTTGGTTTTCATTGCTGTTGTGTGAGTGGCATTGACTGATTGGAAATAGCAGAACTGCTCCTGCACCAGCCTCACTCCCACTCTGAGCCTGCCCCAGGCTCCTGCCAGGCCCCCCACCCTCTGCCTGCTCCCTCTGCTGGCTCTGGGGGTGCCACTGCACCTCCCCACCCTGCTCCGGGCCCTCAGTGGTGGTCATGGCCTTCCTCCTGGGCCTCTGCTCTCACACTGTCGTGACTCTCATGACCAGCTCTCGGCTGCTGCCTGGGGGACTCCGCTGTTCATGGGGTCTCAAGTGACTCAGGATGTGCAGGATGGTATAAGCACAGTGGTGTTGGGACAGAGGGCCTGAGGGGTGGCTGGCAGCCTGGGCAGGGCCCTGCTCAGGGGCAGGGGTGCCTGCGCCCTCCTCTTCCGAGGAGGGGATATTGGCCTGGGTGGATGAGGAGGTCCGGGGGTTGGTCCTGCCTCCTGCCTTTTGATCCTCCAGGTCTTTTGTCTTGTCATAGTTCAGCACTTTCCACTGCTGGTTGACAGCCTGCCACCGTTTAAAGATGCGATACACCGAGGGTCCCTCATGGATGATGAGACCTGAGGCAGCAGGGAGAGGAGAAACAGAGGCCAAATGAGAGGAAGTGGGTCACTGCCAGGAGACCACAGTCTCTCTGAATCTATGCAAGGTATGGGCGTTGGCTCCAGTGCTGAGCCACAGGCAGACTATCCCTAGATTCCCAGGCTCAGCGAGTTCCAGTAGGCAGAAGGTGGAGGGGCCACCAGGCCGAGTCCATGAAATAGTTGAGCACCTTCAGGCAGTGCCTTCGCCCACTTCTATTCCACCCCACCCCCTTCCTGCCTTGACAAAATCCAAATTCATCCACTAAGGCATAATATAAATATCTTTTCCTCCCTCTATTATGTATCCATGGCACCCAGTCCTTAGCAGATGTTGAACGAATTGTGTGCTTTTAAAGTACCACAAAAGAAATCCCATGGTCGGTTGCTCCACACCTGCTAAAGGTTGCTGGAAATCCCACTGGTTAACTCTGCACGGATACCCCAGTGCTACTGAGATACAAACAGCCCTGGGAGAGATAATTTGATGCAGTTATATCTGCCAGAGGCAGTGATAGAGTTGGAAACAAGCTACACCAGGCAGCAAGGCAAATAAATAATCATTGTATGCCTACTATGTGCCAAGCACTGAGGATACTGCAGTCAGCAGGACACCCTCTGAGAGCTTACATCTTCACAGAGACACACAATAGATGTGTAAACAAACCAATGCGACAATTTCAGGAGCTGACAAATGCCTTAAGGAAGATAACTGGGGTTAAATAGCCACTGGCTGTGGGCACTGAGATCCTGTTTCAGCAAGGGCGGTGGGAAAGGCCTTTTGGAGGAGACCATATCCGAGTTGAGACCTAAGTGATGAACAGGAGAGATCCATGCAAAGATCTGGAGAGAGAGCACTTCGGTGGTAGGAACTCCAAGCGCAAAGTCCACGAGGTGGGAATGGAATGAGCAAGGTCAGAGAGAAGGTCAGTGTGATCAGTACAGTGCAGCAGTGAGGAAGTGGAGGGAGGTAAGGCGAGCAGAGGCCAGTGAATGGCAGGGCCTTATAGGCCATGGCAAGGGATTTGCACTCTGTCCTGAGTGTAATGGGAAGACATTGACGGTTTCAGTAGGGGGAATGCTGTGATCTGATTCAGCCTTCATAAAGCCACCGGTGGTGCATGTGAAGAGGGCCAAGAGAAGGCGTGGAAGCAGTGGCGTCATGCGAGTTGGGAATGGTGATAGCGTTGACTAGGGTCATGGCAGTGGAGCAGTGAGAAACTGCTGGAGTCAGGCCGTGTGCTGGATGTAGAGCTAAGACTTGCTGACTGGCAAGGTGGGAGTGAAGAGAAAGATCTGGACAACTCCGAAGCTCTTGGCCTCAGCAGCTGCATAAATGGGGAGCCATTCCCTGAGAAGTGGAGGGCATCAGGGTAGGCTATGGATTTGTGTGGTAGCTGTGGTGACCGAATTCGTTTCCTATCACTGCTGTGACAAAGTACCACACATCTGGTAGCTTAAAATGGGACGCATGTTTCTCTTACAGTTCTGAAGATCAGAAGTCTAAAATCAGTCCCACTGGGCTGACGTGAAAGTGTCAGCAGGGCACCTTCTGGTTCTTTCTGGAGGCTTTGAGGGGGAAGAATCTGTCTCCTTGCCTTTTTTCAGTTTCTAGAAATTGCAATTTCTGCCTCTTTCTTGCATCGTTCCAGCCTCTTTCTTCTGTTCTCACCTCTCCTACTATTCTTCTGTCATTAAATCTCCCTCTCCTTGTAAGAACACTTGTGGCTACATTTAGGGCCCACCTGAATAATCCAGGATACTGTCCCCATTTCAAGATCCTTAAATTAATCACATTGGCAAAGTCTTTTTCCATATAAGGTAACATTGACAGGTTTAGGGATTAGGACCTGCATGTCTTTGGGGCCCATGATTCAAGTCTATCAGAGTGATTACTAGCTACATTTTAGTCATGGTTAGTTTAAGGTGTCTGATAGAAAGCTAACTAGAAGGATCAGATGGGCAATTGGACATATGAGTCCGAAGCTTAGGGAGAGGTCTGGCCTGGAGATAGAAGCCATCATTGTAGAGGTAGAACTTGAAGACTTGGAAATGGCTGAGACCTCTTAGGGGAGAGAAGAAGGCCAAAGACAGAGCCCTGGGCTTTAGGTGTTTAGAGGCTTGGTGGAGGCTTTGGTGGAGATAGGGCCAAGGAATGAGGCTCAAAAGAAGCAACCAATGGGGTAAAAGCAAGACCAGCAAGTGGAGACCCAAAAGCCTAGGGAAGGATTCAGAAAGAGTGCAGTGACTCTTTACAATGTTATCAAGAGGTCAACTTGAGTAAATTGGGAAATGACCACTGGTTCCACAGGCACAGATGGCGGGAGAATGATAGAAATGACAGTGGGAAAATCAGGTAGTTCTCATCCAAGCACACATACATATTTTTTTCCCCATGAAGTCATCAGCTAAGAAAGAAGAGATAAGAGAGGAAGTGTTAAAGATTTGTGAAGAGAGGAGAAGGTGGGAAATAATTATCTCGGAAAGTAGGAGTGTGAATTTACAAGGGAGATGCGGTAGAATTAGCTCACTGTGTTAAGTGTCCATTTGAGATTTGTGGCCATAAATCTGAAGTGACTCTAGTCACTGGTTGTGTGATTTTTCTCCACGCCTTCAAACTGCTTGCTCAGGTGCACATGTGGAAGAAGAAGAAATCTGGGTTTAACCAGGGTAAACTGTTTCCCTGGGCAAGCAGACATGAGAATTATATGTACTTGCAAGAGAGTGGTTATCCTGCTGGACCATGGAGCCCAGGCTGGGGATGGGGGAGAATAGAAGAGGTATAAGAAATAATGAAAAGTGGAAAGTGAGAGAGTCAAGGCCACGTCTTTATGAGGTTGGAGGATTCTTGGAGTCAGTGAATAGGGAGTGATGGTCAGAGAGTATGATGTTTCAATCCAGATTTTGGAAGTGGTGTGGTTACTGGCGATTATGAATCCAGGATGTGACTATTTGATTGGGGCTGGTGTGTGCTGGAGGAAAAGATCTTTGGAGCAATAGCAAAGCCAGGGAATTGGAAAGACTATCTGCCTCAGCCATCCTCAATGCTATCACACCAAACATCCCCTTTCTATAACAAATTTATTTTAACATCACCATTCCTATCCTGAAATGAAATTAATAAGCTACTGCAAACTACTATGTCTTTTAAATTAATATAATGCCCTAACAGATAATGTCAAATAAAAATAATAAAGGGAAATCTTTTATAACAAAACAATAAACATTTCAGTGAAAACGCTGCAGCACAACTACATTAGAAAAAGGACAAACAAATAAACAAACCCCAGACATTTCCAAAATGCCTCTGGGGGACAGGCCCGTCTCTGCCGAGCACTGATCTATGTAGCTGCTGAGGACAAGAGTTGGGGGAATGTATGAGCAGGTGCGTGAGGGTATCTGAGGACTGAGTAGGTGGCCAGCAGCCAATAGCATCCAGAAGTGAAAATGGGTGATAAAGAAAGATACACTTCGGCCGGGCATGGTGGCTCATGCCTGTAATCCCAGCACTTTGGGAGGCTGAGGCAGGTGGATCACTTGAGGTCAGGAGTTCAAGATCAGCCAGGTCAACATGGTGAAACCCTGTCTCTACTAAAAATACAAAAATTAGCCAGGTATGATGACATGCGCCTGTAATCCCAACTATTCAGGAGGCTGAGAGAGGAAAATTGCTTGAACCCAGGAAGTGGAGGTTGCAGGGAGCCGAGATCACACCACTGCACTCCAGTGTGGGTGACAAGAGCAAGACTCTGTCTGAAAGAGAAAGAGAGAGAGAGAGAGAGAAAGCAAGAAAGAAAGAAAGAGAGAGAGAGAAAGCAAGAAAGCAAGGAAGGTAGGAAGGAAAGAGGGAGGGAGGGAAGGAAAGAAGGAAGGAAGGAACGAGGGAGGGAGGGAGGGAAGGAAGGAAGGAAGAAAGAAAAAAGAAAGAAATAAAGAAAAAGAAAGAAAGAAAGAAAAAGAAAGAAAGAAAGAAAGAAAGAAAGAAAGAAAGAAAGAAAGAAAGAAAGAAAGAAAGAAAGAAAGACAGACAGACTTTGAAGGGGCTGGGGCTTCTGAAGGATGAAGGAAGAGAAGTAGTTTCGAGTAGTGATGGAAATCAAGAAGGACATGGACCCCACTTCCAGACCCGACAGGACATGGTATACGGGAGAAAGAACAGCCACCACCAGCGTGAGGGAAACAATGTTCTCAGGACACAGCCATGCTTCAGGTAGGAAAGATGAAGGGAACGCGCAGAGAGAAGGTTGCTAATGAGGGACCATGAGGTGCAGTGGGGCACGGTGAAGGGCTGGGAAGACAGGCTCAGATGTAGGGATGAGCTGAGCAGGAAAGGGATGCTGGTGCAGAGAGTGAGGCTGCCAGGGGCTGGGCCCTGTGATGGTGGGTGAGATGATCGCATGGCGGGCTTCATCCCACAGCCACTGAGGATCCAGGGGAGGAGCTGGCTCGGAGCAAACAGCAATGAGTGAACCCGGCCTCCTGGTGCAAAACCTCAGAGCCTCTTCAGTCTCCAACAGGCTGCAATTCTCAGAGACCAGAGCCACCCATACAGTCACTTTCTCCTGCAGTGTTCCAACTGTGTCTGAAATCACGCCTCACTCAACAACTCTTCAAGATTCATCGAGAAAGAGGTAGTCTCGGGGGTTTCTAGCTCTTTGTTTGGATCACAACCCTTTGAGGATCTAATGAAGGGAAGGACCATCTTCCTGGAGCGGAAAACAACCAGACACTCAAATTACCTTGTACTAAATCTCCTGAAGATCACCGGTGGACCCTCTGCTCTGGCCTGACAGATGCTGAGCAAAGAGATTTCCTTTCTGTCCCACTCTCTCACCCTCTCCCAATTGTACCAACTCCCATCATCTCTGCCAACCTTTTGAATGTGTACCTATGCAACCTTGGCCCTGAAGCCATGCGTCTGTCCATTTATCCCACAAACCTTGTTTGAACATTGCTATGCTCTTCTCTCCAGACTGTAA